AACATGTTCAAATTCTTCTTAGAAAATATATCATTAGACTTTAGATTCACAAAATGTATGCACAACCTTTAGAAACATTTTGATTGTTTAAAGGTGCATTACATCACATTTCAGGTGGCTGCTTATTTCATGAAAGGTTCCACAGCATGGTATAAATGTAAAAGCCATTTATTTATGAAAAACAAAACAAAAGATAAGCGTGATGCCTTTTTGTGGAACGTTCCAGGCAAAATATTTCCTTGGAGAACAGAAGGTTTTGATATACTTCCCCTTTATTTGGACTTATACATTATTTTGTGTTCCTTATACAATATATCTGTACTTGGGCAAGACATTTAGCTTGAAAACATGGAAAGAAATCAGTGAGAGGGCCTTTAAGTACTTTCAAAAGACTGAACTCAAATTTGGGGGAACCAAGGACCAGGATTAAACCAGGACTAATCAAGGTCTAAACTAGGACTAAAGCAGGTCTTAGGACTAATGCTGAATCCAGATCTAAACCATGACAAAACTCAAGCTGCACAGATAAAGTTCTGACTCTTACCACAGTTTGAGAAACACTGATATAGACAGTCCAACGATGCAAACTATGAGGATGTTTTACACTGACAGAAGGTACAAGAAGTTTTGTTATATTATATAGGGAGTCTGCATAAAGTGAGCTCCTTAAGCGCTATGGTGACATGCTCCAGTGCTGTGCTCGCCGCTGTAACTTTTACATAATATGCTCAGTGGAGAATGCGCCTGTCTAAGCTCCATTAGATTTATGACCATCATGCTGACGTTTCCTGTGGTCACCATTTCTGGGTTAGTTTATCATATTTTGACATCTCTTAGGAATCTGAACCCAGAGAATACATGACGCATAATCTGATATTTTTGTTATAGAAATGTCTTTTTTAAAAACAAGGAATAGCCTAGAGAGAAGTGCTATAATAGAAAGTGCATTACTGTAGCCAGTTTATGTCTTTGCTTTGATGGGCAGATCCACGAGGCATCAGTCATATTATGACTGTCCTCCCAGACTGGCGTGTCACAGCAGGCATGGTCACCTAATCCATCAATATTCCCACGCGGCACTGTTGGGCTTCTGAAAGGATGAAAAACAACAAGAAAATCTCCCCGGATGTGCTATCCATCTGAGTCCAGCAGACAGTGGCGGATGCGCACAACCTTCTGTGTAGTACAGCTGCAGAGCTGTGCTCCAGTGGGTGGGGAGAAGGAGCGGCACTCTTCATTTTGTCAACTGTAATATTTTGTCATAGTTTTCATCAATGGAATATTTACTGATAAAATAATACATGACTAAATGTATGACTAAAAGCACAGACATTTTTGTAGATTTTTCAAACTAGATACTGTGCAATGGTTGAACTACTTGTGAGTGAGTACGCACAGTGACCATTTCAAAGGGTCAGAATTGGGACTTGTGAAAAAACTGTGTGGTGTATCCACTACACTACAGTGTGTGTCTGAAGTGTCTGGACTAGTGGAGCTGTTGGTTTTAAGTTGGTTTCTCTGCTCACAGAATCAAGTTCATGTCAGGTATTAAAATAGTCAACAGTGTGTCTTTTTGGTTTTGACAGTTTGGTGACACACCTGACAGTTTCTTCTTATATATCCTATTTCATCTTTTCACTTACTTTTATTTGTCTGTGAATCAAAGTGCATCCTCAACTTTAAGGATAACATTTCACTCAGTGCAGCTTAACACATGGAGACATCTGCCCTTCACCTAAAATGTATGATGAACAGGGCTCCACTACATGTTCAAAGTGACACTTTGCTGACTTGCCACACAAGGCACCCGGGTTAGGGTTAGATGACCGAGAGTTATGCGTCTAACTGTGCATCACTGGTCACTTCATTCACCACCAAGCAGTTACACTACAGCTACATTTCCTTTTTTACCTACACTATTTGTTTCCATGTCTAGTCTGATGTTTATTACATGAGCAGGTTTTTGTATGACATGATATTTTCAATCTCACCCACCCAGTATTCAGTTTACTCTAATTCATGCTTTTATCACATTTGTTGCCTAGCATCAAAAGCATAATGTAGCCACAAGAGAAAGAAACCCTGCACCTAACCATAGAGTGCAGGTGCAGAGAGTCCCTATGTAAGCTTTTTAAAATGAATGTCACATGTGGGCTAGATCTGACCAGCAGAGTGTGGGGACTTGTGTATGCTTCACAAGATTCAAAGCTGGCAATCCCCGTACAAAGGTTTGTCATATGAAGTGTAGCGGGACACAATAAACAGGATTTACAATGGCAGCACGAGAAGTAGAATTTACAATAAGATGAGTAAGGATTCAGGGAGGACTACTAGACTATAGAAGTGCTGCACCACAACTTTCAAACAACAGCTACAATGTTGATCTCGACTATGTTGTTTACTTGGAGCGTATTTATCATGTTTGGCGATCTCTCTGACTAGTTTTAAAAAATTCTTAATCTAAGCAAACATATCTGCCAAGGAAGAGGTGAGAAAATTGCACTTAACAATGAGCTAAGAAAAATCAAAACACGAGTAGTTTTGATTAAAATAAGAAAAATCCTTCAAAACTGTTTCCAAACTGACCAAATAATGCAGAACTAGCTAAAATATCTAAACTTGTCAGCTGACTAAAATAAGCTGATATGCAGAAGTAGCTTTTCCTTTTTATCTCAACAGTTTAAAATTTTGATTTATTATGCCCATTTTCTCCACCGAAGGCCAATGTCTGGTCAAAACATGCTCATGAATGGAAATAGATTTTTCCCATTAGCCTTTTAAAGTTGTGCTCAAGGTTATTGTCTGATTGATTTTGATTGGCTGAGAGAAAAAGACTAACTCTACCTTTTTGAAGCAAACTAGAAAAGATTCAAATAAATGTAATAGGTTATATTCAGAGGAGACAGCGGAGCTAAAGGGTCATTGAAATGCTTAAAGAAATACAGATACACTGAGGTCTGGTGAATAGATGCTGGGGAGACATAACTTCACACTGAATCGCAACACATCATCTATTAAGGGAGCGCCACAGAAATTAACATGCCATTAGTTCATACTTTACTGGTGTCGGATGCTATTAAAGCTAATGTCTTGGTAGAAGTTGGGGCTAATTGGATGAAAGCTATTGGAGTTTCAATGCGATACTCATGACCAATTACAAGCATGTTTTTCAATAGCTCTGACAAGAATATTGACTATTTTAAGGATAAAAAAATGATCAAATGCTTAATAATCACATTGATATTTTAAGTTGCCATCTGGTTAAAAAAATACATTTAGAAATTGGTATCAAATATTTTTAATACTTGTACATCCAACATAGACCTAATCATGCTATAATGATTTTCCTCCTCATCGTCAGCTTTGTATGAGTTTTGAGTTTTAGTCCAACATTTGAGGTGTCAGAAGAAGTTTTTCACTGATACTGTGATTCTTTTTTTTTTCTGCAGTTTTGAAATGGAAGTCAACAGTCAAAGTGGAAATCAACAGACACAATTTAGTCAGTTCAGATCATTACTGCCATGTCCTTTTTAAATCAGGATCACCATCTATAAACAGGATTTTTGAAATGTAGCTTCTATAATGTCTATACCATTGCAAGTTATGTTTTCCAAGCAGCTACATTTCATACCTCAGTGTTTATTGGATTTGTCATGGATAGAATGTTAACCTTTTTTTGCACAATATGTCTTTAAAATGGAGCAGTGTATAATCTAATCATTATTTTACTGGAGTGCACACTTCAATAAAGCAGCAATTCCATTCTACAATAAGAGCGCTTTCAATTTTGGTCACTTTTTTATCTAATAATTATGTTTATGCATTTACAGCGCCCACTCCTATAAATCATAATACAGTGACTGCCAATCAATAGCTGCCATGTTAATGCCTCATATGAGCTGGAGAAGAGTCGGCTCACAGCGCATGTTCTCTGTTGTGTTTACTAATGTCCTGTGTAAATCACCTGGACACCTTTTACCTTAAGTGTGTCAGCCCATCCTCTGAGTGCCACTGTCCTCTTATCTCTAAATCAATGAAATTGCAGCAGTGAGGTAAAACCCAGGCAGAGTGCGCTCTTCTGTATTCTGTAAGTGCACCTACATTTTGTGCTGTTACAGGCACTTTAGAAGACCATTTAGGTCAATGTCAGACGCAGGGCTATGGTGACACGGAAGGGACAAACAAAAGCAACAGTTAATACTTTAAGGCAATTACACAATATCTAATATGAGCCGGCTCCCCAGACGAGCAGGGGAAATCAAGACGAACAACACAAATTAAGAAGTTTGGATGAAAGTGCACAATGACTTTTCTCATAAAACTGTGTTGACTGAAGAGACACCAAGGAAATGAACAAAGTGCAACAAAATAGATACAATTATGTAAGACTTTCTTAAAAACAGAGATTCCTGACATGATTATAGATCAAGGAAGTCAGAGCCCGCCATGTTGTGTTTAGTCTAACTACATGATACAACATACAATTACATTTAATTATGCATTAAAAACTGGAATTGCTTTGTGCTCTTCATTGTTTGCATGCTATTTTGAAGTATGTACTTTTAACTTTCTTTTATCATTCTTCTTTTGGTAAAACACTTTGAATTACGCTGAGTATGAGTTGTACTCACTGAGTAAACTCACACCTGAACCACTCTTATCTGCTGGACAAATGGCCATTGGGCTGATATAGTATTCATTCCATTCATTATTGCAAAAATCAATCAGTAAATAAAAACTCAGAAAAACAGTCTTGCTGGAAACGAGGTCAGCCCTCCAGAACAAACTAACTTGGCCTAGTGGTGTCCCAAGTTTTGATGTCATACTGTGGAATATTGGACTGGACCTTGGACCAGAAAAGTAACAATAGTGCACCTTTAATAAGAAATGTGGCGTTTTGCTAATTTCCATAGCTTCATGACTTAATTGAAAGTAAAGTACCCTAAAATAAGCTCTCTTCTTGCACAAGTGTGTATAAGTGAGTGTGTGCTTGGCCTCACCTCATTGGCATACACCCAGTGACTGTCCTTGGACGCCAGGTTGGTCTCCACAGCCTACAGACGGGGGCAGAGAGAAAAGAAGAGAGAATAGAGAGACAAATTTAAGTACAGGCAATTCATTGAGATTTAACAAAAAGCCCAGGTGGGTCGCCCCTGAGGTACCGCTGCGCCCGGAGTGTAAATCAAAAGGTCTTTGAGAGAGGGCGCCTGTTGAAAAGGGGAGAGGAAGAGAAATAAATTAAACGCATCTAAAGCCCACACAGCCCGAGGCACACCGGGTCTACAACAGCACTGGCTTCTACCTGCTGGGGCCATTTAAGCACAGGGCCAATTCAGCGTGACATTTTGTACTTGATTTAAATAAGTAGGGAGGCCGTTAACAAGAAGAAGTTGTATTTTGACAGTTATGGTTCCACTCGGCTCACCTAAAATGATCGCTGTAACACAAGTACATAATGGAGAACACTTCTGCAGCCAGCTGTGCGCAGATCTGACTGATTTAACAGCAATTAAATACAAAGATACAAGCCATAAACATTAGCTAAAGCATATGGGGGCTTTTCTGTCACACTCCAGAAATTGTATTTAAAACCAATGTATTATTTTATTTATTTATTAAATGATATTTATTGATTAGAAAATTGACATAATGTGTATCTTATTCTATATAAGCTGTGTTCACATGAAATCACAACAATATATCTTCAAACTGAGGTGCAGAAGAAGGCAGATATGTTAACCCTGTGTATTCATATTTCTAGAATTACAGGGACTATCCACATGAAACAAAAACCATGCACAAAGTGCAACATCTTCTTTGTGAGCGTAAATAAACATGGATTATTTTACTAAATATCTTAAACATGCAACACTAAAGACAATCCAAATGAGACAGGATCATTCTGCGTCTCATGGATAATCATCTTGAGAACCAAATTATGAATTTAATGTAAGAATATCCACATTAACTTAAGAATAACACTGACTGGAGCAGTCAATATGGACAGTAGAATCCAGTCAGAGAACCCGGAGGCTAAGTTGAGAATGGTCTTTTATGATAGCTGCATATGTGTATGTGCACCAAAAATGGAGCTGCCAAACAGATTAGCAACAGTAACTAGGCACGTATGGAAACTCTGAATTAAAACGCTGGTCCCTCCAGTCTTTCTGACATGTAACAACTTGGCCATCATGTCCAAAGTAATTAAGAATAAATTACAATTGTTATCAGTAAAGGCTGTATTTGAGTTTTGAGAACTGAAGACGACCTCCATAGGTTGAAATATATCACACTCTTTTTACTAAAGGACTTTTAATTGCTTCAGATGACCTTTCAAAACCCTTGGATAAGTTTGCACATTACGGTGCACAATATGAGGCTTATTTCTTTAAACTACATTTGATGTAAAATAAATAATTAAAAAAACCTTAAACTATATTTGATTTGAACATCTCTGCCTCGTATCTGGGGTCACAGAGAGGTCATGTCGATCAAACTTCCATACTGTCCTTTTAAACCATGTCTGGGAGAATCCTTTTAGTCCTTTGATTGTGAACATGAGCTGTAAGAAACCTGAACCACAAATGAAAAAGACATTTACTGAACAAAGCTTGTCCTCTGCACCTGCATAAGATGTTCAGGAGGCGACCGGCTTTGTACTTTTGTTTGATCATCAACAGCTCGAGGGCTTCGCCAGCATGGCAACAGCGCTGTGTTAGCTAGCATTCTTACATAAACTATACATTGAAGAAGTGAGTGGGTGTAAATGTTCTGTGCTTGTCTCCCAAGCACAATGACCCCACACAGCATTAAGCACACAGAAACAACTGGAGGTGCCATTGTGCAGTTCCTCCCCCTGTCAGCAGATGGCGTGTATTTGACACCTGCCACCTGTGATGCATGCTCTCCAGCTAATTGCTATCATTATCTCTCGTAAATGAATCCAAAGGCCTATGAAGACGGATGCCTTAAGAGTGTTGTAGCACATATCTGACATACTACATCAATAATTTGTGGGTGAAGAGTAGACGGTGCTGGATGTAACCTTGGAGAGCTCTGATTTGATTTTAATGCCCTATATGGTTTGTAGATCGATCTCATCAAGCTCACACAGCTCCAGAATATTTAGCTCCACGCTTCACATGTCTCGCCTCAGAGTGGAGGAATTAAACTGGGAATATATAGTTTTTAAATGATTTTGAAACATGAATGGGCATGCCAGTGATCAACAGAGATGGCTATGGTATGCATGACTGGAGAGGTTTAGATTACGAGTTTATATTAAAGAAGCACTAAGTAACTTTTCTCATTGCCTCCATGGATGTATTACTGCTATGCCTGTAATGTTGTATAGTACAGCCGTAAACTTATCGTAACTTATTCAATTACACATTTAATGCCATACTGTGGAATAGAACAGGCAAAGCAATACACCAGAACCCTGCACCAGAAAATGTTACATAATAGTAGGGCGCCTTTCATTAATGGGAATAGCTGTTATGTTCCACAAAATATAAGTAGTGGGCCACAGAAGCTACAAGCTGCACAAAATAGGTAAAAATAAATAAATAAAAATACAAATAAACAAATGTGGAATTTTGAATACAACACACGTTATATTCCTCATTTAAGTGAATTATTCCAAACACAGACACAAAAGTGAATAGGGTAGTGGATTTAAGTAAGTTACAACATTAAAAACTTTTTAGCCTTTGCTTTATTTACTAACCAGTGTGTGATCTGAACAAGAACTCATTCAAATCTCTATTGCAACAGTTTACTGAGAAACCTTATGTGATTCTCAGATTAAAACAGGTAAATACTTCTATTTAAAACATCGTCACTTACAGGTCACTGATGATTCCTTTGCTCACACTTAATGTTATACTGAGTTCTCATGTAACCTTCAATGATCTGTACTTTCTCTGTATCTTAAAAGGTCAACCACGCTGATCTCATTAGAGTTGGAAAGTCTGAATTACTTCTCTAAACCAATCATTAATGTATGGAATATATGTCCAGCTGCATCAAAACCTGACTACATGGGCAATATGTATTGTCAACAAGAGATTGTAATAAGTACACTGGTGTGGTGGATATCCCTGAAATCATAAAACTGTAATGTGATGGTTCATGTAATCATGAAATAATGCCAGAACAGCAACTAACTGATATTTTAGCAGTCAGCAGTTATCTTTATTAATTAGTCCAGTAGTCAAATCATATTTTCTTTAGTGTGTTGAGATGTATTCAAGATATTTTTAAGTAAATAAAGGATCAAATATGACTGAAAAACAGAAATTGAGTAATTTTTGACATTCTGATTTAATAATGGGGTTGTTTTTGTCTTAAAAGTTGTTTGGAATGTGTTTTCGCATTTGTAAAGTACAGATAACAGTAATTATCAAAATACAGAACGATTAGGATTTTTTAAATAGTTGACTGTTGACAGTTAACTGTTGCATGTTGAAAGTTAGAAATATTTGTGTATGAGACCAGACTTTGTGTCAGATGCCCTATCACAAAAAGTCCACCTCCTCGTGTTAATATTGTATTTGGTCTTATTAAACTCTGCTCTAAGCGAACTATTCAGTCTACTCTGTCTGTGTTCCCTCTGTGAACCCAAATTGCATAGTTCCAAAAAAGACCCGTGGCCTTTGCAACGTCTGCGTTTTCTTTTCAAACCATCAGACAGTGGAATCAGATTCCAGACAGTTTGAAATTGTCTCTAGATCTTAATAATTTGACTAAAAATGTGAAAATACATATTTTAGAAAATCAAGTGTCGACATCTCGTACAAATCATCTTTTCTTCTGTAAGATGAATGAATTTGTACATGGTCCCTGACAAATGAAGAACAAAGAAAGAAAAAGAAACAGAGGTATTAGCCACAGCACATATGCAAAGAAATATATACTAGTGAGTTTGATAAAAAAAAAAATAATAATGTGTATGTGACAACAGAATGTAACATTTAATGTTGTTTTGTATAAGATGCTGCCAGCAAGGGAGTTACAGGCGGCTAATCCTGAAGTTTTCCCAGATTGATTAGAATAAAAATACATAAAAATCACCAGAACATGTGTTAAAAGAAATCTGTTTTCAACTGAGCTATTATTTCACACCATTTCCCACCAGCGTCGAGCAGAACTTTCGACCTTGTATGCAAAAACACTAACAACCAATCTTGGCAGACAAAGCCCAATACCCCTGGGGCCCTCTGTAATCCATAAAGCTGCACAAACATTAGCAGAATCCCTTCACATGTGAGTTATGCATTCATTCACATTATGATAATATCCCTTTCCACACTGGATAATATCTGACAATGGGAAGTGTTTTGTGCCTTCTAGAACAACCTTGAAACTGAAAAGACTTGACAGCTCCTTCAACTGTACCGTATTGTTCCAGACCCTCACTGTCATATTGCATAATAATAAAAAAAAAAACAATGGCGGGGCCTAGTGTGCGGGTTGGTTAATGTGGACCAGCTGCGGTGCTTTGTTCAGCCCTGGGCTCGGCAGATACCAGTGCATGAAATGCCTGGGAGGTAGTCAACAGAGCGCGCTAACACTGACGACTTGAGTCACTTGAGCAGTACAAAGCCTTGTTAAGCACAGCTCTGTTTGTGATGGGCGTTTAACCTCGCTTTGTGCTTCTGCCTGCTGCAATGGAGTGAGCTCGGTGTTTGTGAGCCTCTGGTATTTAAGGGGGGACAAAAGGTAGAAGAGAGGCTAAGGGAATGGGGTTTGAGCAGTGAATATTTGGTTACACAATTTATATGAAGCTAAAAAACTGATAAAACAGCAATAGAAGAACTGTGAAGCTGATTATAAGATTATGACTTGCATTTAGAGCTAAAGCAGTTTAGCTCTAAATGCAAATCAGTTATTCTGCAGACAAAGAACTCAAAATTTTACTCTATGACAGTATCGCTTCTCCAAAATTATCAAGTAGAAGAGCAAAGTTTTCCTCCAAAAAATGACTCAAGTGGTAATAACAATCATTTGAATCAACTGGAAACATTTACAAATCATTTAACATAAGGCTTAC